AATTACAAAACAGTCTAAAAAAAAAAATTAATACATGTACTTAAACTACAACAACCAAACTCAAACAACAACTTTTATGGTAGCTACTATGTATTAGGTTAGGTTTAATAATATGTATTAACAAAAATTTAATTTTTGGTCAAGCCTGGCCGCAGGGCAGGCGACCAAATTATTTTTTGTTAATACCATATTATTAAACATTTAACCTATTTTTAATGATCAAACATATTTTTTTCAAACCAAAAACAAGGCAATTTCTCTAAATCACCCGATAGCTCCGCCCTTCTCGCTTCTTCAAGATGTCACACCTTGTCCAAATTTCTAACATTTTCACATTTAGATAAGCTTAAATAAATAAATGGCCCTTTCAACATATAATCAGCCAACATTTTTAAACTTGAAATGTCACAGAATTAAATACCTTAATCTACATAATTACCATTTGGCTAAAACAATGGAATTAAAAATGAAATGTTACAATGTCCTTTTAAAATTAATGGAAATGTTGAGAAAAATCCTAAGAGATTACAATTGATAACAAATTCGTTATGAAGCTTCAAGTTATTCAACTAACATTAAAAATCTCTCTATTGAAATTTTGCCTCATTTGGACAAAAAACAGTTCATTTTATTTTTAAAGTGTGTCAATTTTGTTAACAGGTGGAGGGGTTAGTTTTACAATTGAGTTTTCACCAGCCAAAAATTTGTAATTTCATGTTTATTCTTGATATCAAGGATTGTTAAAATAGCCAAGTAATTTTATCAAAGTGAAAGAAAATAATTTTTTTTGGTTTGACTTTCTTTTAGAAAAATAAAGTTAAAAACATTTTTAGCAATTTATAACAACATTTTTCTTAGGAGTTAAAAGGATATAAAAAAGTTACTAATGTAATTTCATTTGTCTCTGCGTGCTCCGCAACATGTATTATCTATGTAATAAATCAATTTGATTGTATCTCAACATTGAGAAAACAATTATTTTATTGGCATTGTTTTGCTATCCGGGTAATATTTTACAAATTTCAGAGTCTGTAAACCATAACCTCTAACCCTCCCTCCCTTAAATATTAATGCATAATTGAAATTTTAGAACGGTTAGAACGACAGATTAAAGTATATTTCATTTAGTTAGTACACATTAAACCCAAAGTTAACTTAGCAAAAATTTTGAAAAAATACAACAAGGGTGATTAGGACAAAAAATAATGTTGATCATTAAAAATGTTTACTGTCATTTATTTTCGAATTCGCTGTTCAAAAAATAATAAACAATTTAATGAAGTCGTCCGTAAATTTTCGTTTGAAGTTAAATGTTTTTGAAGTGAAAGCCAATTGCCGCCATAACTTGTTCTTATGGAATTTTAGGCTTAAATGACATTCATTAAACTTCAATTTTAGAGAATATACGGGCAAAATCAACCTCCAACACAAGGGAGGGTCATAAAGAACTCTCCAATGAGACAAAAATTTTTTGGGTTTTGAATGTTGAAAAAATTGACTTTAAAAAAATTTTGGGTCCATACAGAAAAAGTTTTTATAAACAAAAAAATTTTAAAGCGACATGAAAAAAAGTACGGGTTATTTTGCAGGCAAAAAATCATGGAAATGATGGGAACATTTTCCCGCAATTTTATAAAAACAAAATTTTAAAACAGACAAAAATAAGATTAAAAATTGAACAACTGATTTCTTATTAGCGTCTAAATAACTAGATTGAATATCTTTTCGCTACTTTGTCGTGCAGTATGAAAGCCAAATTTGAATATTTTTCTGACAGTCTATTTAGCATAAATTGCCATCAATAGAGTTTGCTTTACCACTCTTTTAAACGTCGCGTCTATCTAGTAGGTCAACGACTAAGTTAGTTAGATGCTTACAAGAAAAAGAAACTTCTTAAACAGCAGCAGTCAATATTTAAATTAATGAATAAGGAAAGTTTATGATGTCATTACAGTTCAGAAACAGACTATAGAGAATCATACAACATGGTGCTTTCCTGAATTCTGCGTTACAATCGACCGACAAGCGATATGGTAACTTCTTGAAAAGTAATTTCTTCTGCATTGCGTTTCTAGTAGGAGAAGGTGTTGAAACCGTTAGTTGAAGAAGGTTCTCACGTTCAGTGTATTACGAAGAAGAAATGATAAATAAGGCAAGAGAGGAAGCTGGGCTTCGTGGAAAAGACGTCTGTGGACATTGTACAACTCATAATGCTTTACCATGTAAATCTGGCAATGGACTTTGTCATCATGACAAATACGGGAATTGTGGATTTCATGATAAAAATGATCCCCTGAAAGCAAGCAAATTGTGCCCGAATGAATATCTGCAACCGGGATTGTCCGAATAATAAAAATCACGGCATAGATTTCATTCACCTAATTTCAAAAAAACACTGAATGCTAGATAAGGTGGTTTTTCCAAATTCCTTTTGAAATTATGAAATGTTTAAATATCCCGACTGAGGATATCAAGAATATCGAAACAGTTGAAGACACAGATTGCGCTGGACTGCTATCAGTGATTATTAACTGCAAATCCTTCCAGTCTCTAGTAGCAGCAGACTTAGGAGCTCCAGATAACATTTTTGTTAAGGTATGTAACATATAGCCCATCAGAGTAAATTATTAGCTCACCATTATCTATTGTGATTACTATCGAAATTATTCATTTTCCGTCGTCAGTTCACTTCGTCTTCACTTTTATTTAAATGTAATACAATTTTAAACCAATTCACGTTCATTATTAAGTACTTTTGATGCACATTTATCAAATCAAATTAAACTTCTATCAATATTTCCATCGGTTATAAAAGTAGATTTCTTTCACAAATCATTTTTCCATTTTCGATATTTTTCAATTCCCGCCCCTTTTATTTACTCGCGATAAGTTTTGTAAGTTAACCTTCCTTTAAATGATCTCTATAATAATTGTTGAATGAAATACGATTTGTTATACGGTTGCAATTCCTTATGAAGATTATGAATAACCATGTGGTTTAAATTTTTTTTTTGTAAAGTTCATAAGGTTAAGAAACATTGATTAACATGGCAAATACAAATCTCAAGTTTCTTCTACACTATCGTATAATAAGGCAATGGAGATGGCCGTTTGCTCAGGTAAATGATCAGGCAGTGTCTGTGTTCACATGAAACAGGTATTTTAGTGAGCTTTTAAGGTCTTTCGTGGCCTTCTTGGTTAATGTAATTTGTAACTTTTGTTCATATATTACATATAATTATTTTATTCTCTGTCAATGAAAAAGAAATTGATGTATTTCTATATGAAATAAATTAGACTTGTTATTAAATTGCAATTTTAAAATCTGAGAAAAAAATGACACTTGTTTTCAGATGAGAGAAATCAGAAACAAGACGTTCCATTCTGCTGGTTACAGCATTACAGACAGAGACTTGCAGGAGTACATGAAACTTATGCTATCTATCTTAAATGATGCAATGTTTCTAGCACATGATAAAGATGCTCAGGCTGCAGCTGAAAAGATACAAGAGGTGCGTCATATTTACAAATTGCAATCACCCGTGATATTTTAGTTTTTATTGATCGTTGTATCTTATTCTACAATTTACAATTAAGAGATCAATGAATAACCAGTTCAAAATTTAAGATGTAGATATTTCATTTGTAGTATTTAAGAAATTGAATCGCTTCATTGAGTTGCTTAACAACTCTCTTGTTAGTTCATCACACTTGTATAATTATCTTATAACAACAAACGAATAAAATAAAAATTATTTTGATTCTTACTTTCTTCTCAGTTATTTTTAATGTTTTGATACATTTATACAAGTTTTCTTTATTTGTTTCAGCTTTTTTACTTATTTACAGTTTAACTTTTATTTTTTGGTAATCTTAATTAAATCATTACAACAGATTGCTGACAGTTCTGTACACGTATATTGTGGTGAAGAAGTGCAAGATTCAGGTCTAAATCCTGATTTTGACGAGTGCGACGAAATATTTAGAAGTAAGCGATTCTTTAAAGCTACAGATACTATTGATATTATATCGCTGAGAAAAATATAAAGATAACTTAGAAACAATGAAATACATAAATTTGCTTAAACTCTTGTGAGGTTTTACTGACAAAATAAAGTTAAACCAATGAAAAATTTATATTTGTTTAGGTTCTTTTAATTATTATTTAGTTTAATGTTATTTTATTGCATTATTGTATCTAAATTTCAACAGGCAAATGAAATATAAAGATACTTTGTTGATAGTTAATTGGTGTCAGTCAGATATATCATTGACCTTAGTCCCGACCACAACAGGTTAATTGCATAAAATAATTGTTTGCCTTCGTTTTTGCATGATGATAACATATGAACGATTTAGACAATTGCGTTACTATTTAGTATGACACTATTTTAAAGGTGAACTTCCTCAACAATCACTTATAATTGAGTGCTATACCTCTTATGTGCATTTTTGCCATGAATTTATTCATTGCCTACGATAGTACAGTATGCCTTTTGTCAGATTGTAATGTATGGGCACATTTGTCTGTGTAAATTGTACAATTTTCCTAACGGGATACATTTCATTTCAATTAAACTCTGTTAATGTCATTAAAAGGCAAATTTGATATTTATAATTTTGCTATAGGCTTTGAGCGGACAAAATGAAAAACATGTAAATTCAGGTTTCTACTACATCATATTATCAATATTTTATTCTGTATTATTATATGATCTAAATATAACAGCAATCCCATTGGTCTAAACAGTAGTCAACGGAACTATTTATAAAATCATTTTCACTGGGCTAAATTGGATTTTCCAAATCTAAATATAAATTGAGACTCGTATTCAATGACCATACATCGTAATCTGTTAATTAAGCGTGCACATGAAAATAATTAGTATTGTGTTTAATTATAAACGTGATACTATTATAAATTCTAATATGTACTAATATGATTTATTGCCTAAAATGTATATCACATAAGATATAAGGTCATATAGCTTTTTATAACATGTACTTGCTTTTTGCAATAATGTTAAAATTTAAATAACCCAGTGGTTATAACACTAAAAACCTCTATTCACATGTTTCTTACATGATACTTACGTGTGTTTGTTTTCCTTTTCAGAGCTTCTTAAAGGTAAGTACTTTTTATCTCAATAATTGTGTGATTTATTTGGTTTTTGTTTAAAGTGATATCAATAGATATCATATTGCATAAATGTCATATTTCATGACACCAAAGTTGCATAAATTCAGTTTTATTGTCGGGCTGTCAAAAGAGGTATGCAACAAGCTTTCTTCATTTTCTTATATTTATTGTACAATTGTTTTGTATCCATGCGATTTTTTAAAAATTGTCTTATTTACACTTTACATTTAATGTCGCAACAAAATTCTACGGGGTTAAACTAGAACCATTGGAGATATTGACTCGAATCTTTATAGAAAGATAAGTCTTATAAATATATATAATTACTAATGTATCTGTCCATTACTGTATCTTACAATCTATCATTTTTGTTTTTCTCATAACTTTTAAAATAGCAAGAAACGTAAAGCAGAAAGTAAATCAATTGCATTTCGGACATAATTATTTCATGTTTTAACTTGTTTAGCAAATGAAATTTCCATAGAATTGAAATACGATATAAAATTTGAAATTGAACTGGTATTGTCCCTTTCATCGATGTTACTTTGCAACATCTTTTGAACTTTTAAAGTGACATTATGCTCATATTTTCATTGTCAAGTTGAGCTGAACTGACTATATATTTCATAAGATTGACTGTTAAAATGGTGATTGACCAACAGTTGATATTGGAAAATGTTAAGAATAAAATTATAAATCTGCCTAAAATATAAAAAGACTGCCCCACTCTTTTTATGAAATGAACGTTACAGGTAACTTCTAATGGATATTTATGAAAATTTCGTTTGAATCCATGCGTTGTTTATTGTTAATGTGAAATAAATTTGTATATTAAAAGGAAATATGGCAAAAGGAAAACTTATTTTGACATTCACTTGTTCACTCATTTATACCCTTGGATAGGCATAATGTCACTTTAAAACACTTTACATAGAGTATTAATTTAGTTTATATAAAAGCCGTTTTTATCAATAAACACTTTAGGATGTTAATAGTTAACAAGCTTCAAATAACCAATTTGAGAAGTATTTTGAATACGCAAAATCATTGTTTACGTTTTCAAATATAGCACTGTCGTTGATTGGCAGCTTCTCTATATATCAAAGGATATAACTATTCACCAAATCATCTTTGTCGGCATCTGACATGATAAATGTGCAAAGAGGGTAGTTCCATCACCAAAATAATAATTATACAAAAAGACCTTTTACGCATTTATATAGATTTATATATACAATAAAGCGTTCAATGCAGACGTGCTAGTAATTATTTTACAAATTTCTCTAATGAAGTCATTATCATTTTTAAACTTTATCAAATAAAGTGTTATTTATTTTATTGTAGTATAATTTAAATTTGTGATGTACTCGTAAGCAGTTAATATATTTTAAGAACATTCTAAGAATAATACATCATAAGCAAGCATAACTTTTCTATCTGTCACACTGAACAGCTTATTTAGCCGTATGAAACACTGTTCATGTATGTAATAACACGTATACTTGTTTCATGTTCTGGCGTCAAAATTTCTAAAACTTCCTTTTTTAAACTTTGAATATACACTACATGTGTTTTTTTAGTTCAATATCATTTCATAGTATATTTTTTATATGATAAATTTACATAATCTAGCATCATTATCTTATTTATAAGCATTAATACAATGTTCATACAAAATGGTTGGCCCAACAGTTATATCAACATTATCTAGGGTTTACCCATTAATGTAAACTACTCAGGAAGAGATTTAACAAATTATTTTTATCGAAGTTTCAATAAATGTACCTTAATGTACATTAATGTACCGTCTCGAAATCAATGTTTTCAAGTTTTCACTGGTTTGAAAATTGCTTTTACCCATTTATTTATAGCACCATTTGCTAAAACCTTTAAACTTTTAAACACAATCAATAAAGTGTTTATTTAGTAACTACTAAAGCTCGGCAAAAAGTATACAAGAATGTACGTCTTTCGGAGCTTGAGCCTTGAGACTAGGAGGAGGCACGTGTTCTAAAAGTGAACTGTGCATTTTCTTCAACGTTGAGTATGTTAATACACAGCTTTACAATTTATATGTTGTCTTAAATGAGGAATATGATCGAAAATTATTTTTAACACTCGCATTTGTTTTACAAATATCACAAATTTAAATTTGTTTGTTATCTTTGTCACTCTCATAGTTTTCATGAAGTACATTTTTCCTCGATGCCAATTGCTTCTATTGTTTGGTTTTATTAACCTGTCAATTACATACTGATTACACGGTCGATACACACAATATATTTATCTTCGGTAAATTTTCGGTAAGTTCCGTGAGATGTACGCTGTACGATGGAATTTAATTTGATTTGTATCTCTACACTAAGTGTACTCAGTGTTATAGCGCAATAGGGTAAAGCCCGAGTTTATATTCTAAGTGCCACACGTGTTCTAAGTTCGAGCCGCGTTGGTCCATGTGTTTTCTTATTAATACTTTCAACATAATTGAAGCTATATAATTATGATAATTTTATGTTGTTCGTTTTGTTTTATTATGTTTAACTTAATTTTGTTATGTCTATACTTTTTTCAATAATTTTTAATAACATGTTTTAAGAATTCATGTTTAAAATTAAAACGGATTAAAATCAATAAATTTTATGTCTTTTCAATGCCGTAAAACACTACAAATCTGTTCCATTAAAATATACTGCAAAAATAAAGAAGAGTACTAAAACAATGGCAACAGTAAGGATCGAACCACAGACCTCTCAATTATTAGGAATTCTCTTAACCGACTGTACTAATTCTCGTAAAGTACACGGACCAAACCGAAGTGGGATCGAATATTTAAATGAGTCCTATAATGTATGCATAATTGACAGGTCAATAAAATCAGACTATATTTACCGTCAAATACCATTAAAAATGGATACATCTTTTTAGGATTGAGTGCCTAATAATCATGCTGCACAAAGGCGTTTAGAAGAATTTAACACTAAGACGCTTCTAATTACTACGTGTATGAATTTTGTACCATTAATTTCATAATGATGAACGACATTGAACTAGTGATCTCGTAACATTTCTGTTTTACGTCATAAACTGGCATTTTCTTTCAATTTGTTGGATGGTAATTCGTAAATGAATTATGTCTGCCAAAAATTTTGGAAGATATATTTTTTTGCCTTCGCCGTCTGCCTGTCTGTCCGTCCGGCCGCCCGGGTTTTCTGTCGTCCGCAATTAGGATTTTTTGATCTTTCAACCCGGGCAAACCTTTTCTGGTTTTGGGTTTTAACCCCAAAATTCACTTTGATTTAGTTTCCCCAAAAGTAACCCTTCCCCATTGTTTTGCACCCTTTACTGGGGACGTTTTCCTTTTTCGTACAAAAAATTGGGGCCCCCAGAAAATAAAATAGAAAAAATCTTTGGGTTTGGGGCCTTTTATAGGTCAAACTAAATGGTGGGATTTCAACCAGACTTTACAGGAATGTTTAAAAACTATTACTTGTTGGGGCACATCACCGGCACTTTTACTTCGTTTTTTCAAAATTTTCCGCCAAGCTTTAAATTTGTTTCCCCCTTCACGTGGGAAATTTTAATGAAAAGGGCCCCCATTTTAGGGGACCATAATTTAGTTTTTGGAGACATATGTTTTTGTGACAGAAACCCTTGTAGTTATATTGAAATTTTTGCTGGCAATAATAACTGTTATATTTGGTGTTTACATAAAGATGCCAGTTCTTAAGATTGCAATACAAATTGCGTGGTTTTTACTTGAAATGTCATCATAATATATCAGCTAATATATATTTTCTCACTTCAACAAATGTGTTGCTACAAACATTATAATAGAAATAGGTCGGAGTAAGATCTATTCATTGATATTTTGAGGATATTGAAAGAATGTAAGTTCAATACTGAATTT